TGTGCATTTAGACGACTGGTGAGGACCAACAATGACGTAGAAGGATGGCACCAGCGTCTGAATCAAAGGGCAGTGAGGGACAACTTGGCTTTATATATTTTAATCCCCTTACTGTACCGTGAGGCGTCCCTGGTAACCTTGCAATACCATCTGGTTTCTGATCAAAAGCTAAAGTCCAGTCGCCGCAAGGGCAATGAAGAGAAACAGGAACATTTGTGGAAGCTTTGGGACCGTTACGAGGAAAAACAGATAAGCACCTCACAGTTCCTCAAGGAATGTTCGCGTTTTATCCCAGGAAGTGCCTGAACTAGAATTAGAAAACAGCAGCCTGTTTACTGGTTGTTATTTAACTTAAGTTAGTTGTAAATGATAATGTAAAAATAGCCACTGAGAACTGATGAGTTGGCCAAGACTTTTGCTCGTAAAGAGGGAATTGATTACAAACTTGGACTGCCTTTGAGCAGCCTGAGGGCAGCAGTTTCCCAGGAACATCAACTAAATTTCGGAGACTTGAGGCAAAGTTAAATTCACACCAGTTACTCCATCAATCATCATTCTATTATGCAAAAAAGAACCGCACGTCTATGGGTCATCCAATAATGTTAGCAGACTTCTAGATGTTACCACTGCTAGGCTTAGGCTCGGCTACAAGTACCTCTGGGAGTTGTAACATCTGCTGATGTAGATTTGACTAAATGTAAACTCTGTCAGCAGAAATATTCGCATACTTTGCGTCATTATATAATGGAATGTGAAAAAATCGCGGAATTTAGAGATAACACCATCAATAGTGTCCAAGAAATGTGTAAGTACTTCATTCATAATGATGTGCTGCTCGAAATCTTAGCGAAGTATCCAAAATTTGCTTACTGTAGGTAATGCATGACTGTAAAGCTGCCGCCCAGTTGGGTGGGTGTGGAGCAAGACTAGTAACTGTGTGACTCACCATAGATGTAAAGTGTCTTGTATAGTGACTGTTGTGAGCCTCTTGTTGATCACTTGTGACACAAAGATTATTGATGTGTGTATTTGTGTAGGTGATTAGATATGTATGTGTATGTATATATGTATACGTATATATATATGTACATGTATGTATGAGAGTGTGTACATGTATATATAATATTAATAATTTTGTAACTAGCGTCACAAATTGTTATTTGCTTAGCTAAACGAACTAGAGGGTTCAGTTCCTGAACCGATTATGTGCCTCTGTAATCCTTTACACCACCGCCCGCGGGATGGGTATGGGGTGCATAATAAAGAAAGAAATTGAATTGAATTGGTCTGATTAAGACTTTATGACCATGTAATCTATGTTTTGCTCCACTACTTACTGGTTGAGTATGGGGTGCATAACAAATAATAGCCTCCTTCGGGGGCGCCTTGTTTCTAAACGTGTTAGTCTTAAATCCTTTAATCTCAAATCTTGCTACAATGTACCTCTTAATAAATGTTATGTACTCTCGCAACCCAATGTACCTTCTTGTATATAAATAAATAGATTTCAACTGTAAGGGGATATGGTTTGCACCTTGTTATTCTAATAATGGATAAATAATTCTAATAATGGAAGCGCTAATTATATGAACAAGTGCCATGTATTTATTCAGACGAGAACAACAGCGAACACAAACCAGCGCATATACGAACGGAATGGTTTGTATGTACAAACTTCTCAGTGAACGAAGTTGTTTCTAGCCCGGTATCCGAAATTGCAGTATACGACTTGACCAGTCCCCGTATTCTGGCTGGATCTTCGGACGGGGAGACAGTGGCCAGTGCCGGCTTGACTGAGAGGTGCCAGGAATTGGTGGGTTCCTGGTTTACCTTGGAGTGGTGGGCCGCTAGCTCCTGCTCTGCCGGTGGTTACTGGAAGACAACAGTGTGGGGTCACTGGGTGTCTTATATAACTTTTGTGTTGTTGTGTGTGGAGTTGGGGGTCCATCGTTTGTTTTCCCAGGGGACTTGAGGGACTCGCCAAAACAGCTGCCAAACTGTGTGTTTATCTGCTAGAATACACAACAGTTTTCCACGTTCAGTAATGTGTTTATAACTGCAAGGCTTTGAATTTTACCCTACATGGGAATTCCTGGGCACATCTTAAAAGTGTCCGCTAATGCCACCTAATTAAAAAAAATAGCAACTAACATGGCTGGTGGTTGGAACCGCCATCAGCAGCTGAGAAGCAAGTCTAGGAGGGAACATTACTTCAGCTCAAATGGGATTAGCCTCCACTGTGACTCTTTGCACTTTCATATCTTCCCAGATGTTTTCTATGCTCCTTGATCGTGCTTCCAGCAGGAAAGTATTGCACCTCCATTGTTTATGTTTCAACTCCACCAAGTCTAGCCTCCACTAACCCCAACTCAAACACCAATAATAAGACTTCAGGCTTGATTTTGCTACCCAGCAGGAGAGTTGTCTAAAAAGGATGCTCCACATCACAGTCTAGTAGACTTCATCAGGAGATAATCTATATGCAAACTACACAATTATAGAGAAGATGAAATTCCACCAGTGTCTAGAGTGTGGGAAAGGATTCAGTCTTCTTGGAAATATGAAGACTCACATGTTGGTGCATACAGGTCATAAGCTTCATGAATGTAAAGAGTGTGGCAAAAGATTCAGTCAACTTGGACATTTAAAGACACACATGTTTGTGCATACAGGTGATAAACCTCATGAATGTCCAGAGTGTGGGAAAAGATTCAGTCAACTTGGCTCTATGAAGCGGCACATGTTGGTGCATACTCATAATAAACCTCACGAATGTCCAGAATGTGGGAAACGATTCAGTCGACTTGGATATATTAAGGCTCACATGGTAGTACATAGGGGTTATAAACCTTTCGAGTGTGCAGAGTGTGGGAAAAGATTTAGTCACCGTAGTATTATGATACAACACATATTAGTGCATCAAGGTGATAAACCTCACAAGTGTCCAGAGTGTGGGAAAAGATTCAGTCAACTTCCAAATATGAAGGCTCACATGATGGTGCATACAGGTGATAAACCTCATGAATGTCAAGAGTGTGGGAAAAGATTCAGTCAACTTTCAAATATGAAGACTCACATGATGGTGCATCAAGGTGATAAACCTCACAAGTGTCCAGTGTGTGGGAAAAGATTCAGTCAACTTTCAAATATGAAGACTCACATATTGGTGCATACGGGTGATAAACCTCATGCATGTCCAGAGTGTGGGCAAAGATTTACTCGTCTTGGATCAAAGAACCGGCACATGTTGGTGCATGCAGGTGATAAACCTCACGCATGTCCAGAGTGTGGAAAAAAATTCAGTCGACCAGGATATATCAAGACCCACATGTTGGTACATAGGAGTTATAAGCCTTTCGAGTGTGCCGAGTGTGGGAAAAGATTTAAGTACCGTAGTAGTATGATACGCCACATATTGGTGAATCCTGGTAATTAACCTCACTAGGCCTGGTATCTTTTCTTTTAAGATAAGTAAACAAATGTATTTTACAGGCACTAGATGGTGTGTATGTTAGATATGTAAAGCTTGCATGCCATTTATTATAAAAGCAAAGTAATGTATCAATATATATCAGAACATTAACTATTCACTAATATATATAATTACAGTAATTCTGAATTATTTATGTTCAATAACTGTACCTTCTTATATATATATAATATATATATATATATATATATATATATATATATATATATATATATATATATATATATATATATATATATATATATATATATGATGGTCGTGATGGTCGAGTGGTTAAGGTGTCCTGTACATCAGTTGGGTTCGAGTCACTTCTGGGGTGAGATATATATATATATATATATATATATATATATATATATATATATATATATATATATATATATATATATATATATATATATATATATATATATATCTCACCCCAGAAGTGACTCGAACCCAACTGATGTACAGGACACCTTAACCACTCGACCATCACGACCGGACAAAAGATGATGGTAGCCGAGGCTATTTCCCCATCATCCCGCCGGCACGATGATGGTAATCTTGGGCATAGTATTTTAGATTACCATCAGAGTGCCGAATCAATGGGCATAAATTGGATATGAAAACATAAGAATGGAAGTAACTGTAGAATGCCTATTGGCCCATACATCCTCTTGCTGCTTCTATGTTGGTTCTGGGTCTTGAAGTGGGTTATCTTGAGGTTATCTTGAGGTTATCTTGAGATAATTTCGGGGCTTTAGTGTCCCCGCGGCCCGGTCCTCGACCAGGCCTCCACCCCCAGGAAGCAGCCCGTGACAGCTGACTAACTCCCAGGTACCTATTTACTGCTAGGTAACAGGGGCATTCAGGGTGAAAGAAACTTTGCCCATTTGTTTCTGCCTCATGCGGGAATCGAACCCGCGCCACAGAATTACGAGTCCTGCGCGCTATCCACCAGGCTACGAGGCCTCCCGTTGGGTAGAATATAGTTGTGCATTAATTGGCTGTTGATTGCTGGTGTTGACTTTTTGATGTGTAGTGCCTCGCTGATGTCGAGTCTCCTGCTATCGGTGTATTTATCGATGATTTCTGTGTTGTTTGTTAAGATTTATCTTGTGATGGTCTGGGTGTGAGAAGAGATTATATGTTCTTTGATGGAGCCCTGTTGTTTGTGCACAGTTAATCACCTAGAAAGAGACATTGTTGTCTTGCCTATATACTGAGTTCTTTGGGGCTTACAGTCCCTAAGCGGGCATGTGAAGGCATAAAAGACGTTGGTTTCCTTCAGGGTGTTCTGTTTGGTGTCTGGGGAGTTTTTCATGAGTAGTTGGCTGTTTTTTGTGTTTTTGTAGTAAATTATGAATTGTATTTTCTGATTTTTGACTGTAAGGATAATATTCCTCTCAATAATGTCTTTCAGGACCCTTTCCTCCGTTTTATGAGCCGTCGTTCCTGTTTTACAGGAACTTTTTTCGTAACAAGCTTGTTATGCTTGTTACGCTCGTTACACTTGATATTTGTCCAGACCAAGCACGAATATGTCATCCTATTGGACACCATATTCAACCTCGTGATGCAAATGGTTACCACTAAAGACACCTTGCAAGCGGGGCTTATTGCAGAAGAAGGAAAGATTCGAGGTAACTACACATGGACCATACCGTCCCCCGAGTTCAAAGCAGCAGCTAAGAGCCTTCGTGAGAATAAGGAGATAGTCCTCTGGAGATGTGACAAGTCGCCAATATACGTTAGTCTTAAAAAGATGAATATCTGGCAAAAATGAATCTCATACTCTCCGACAAAACTAAATTCCAAAGGGTAACAAAGGACACTACAGCCGAATTGAAAACGAAGGTAAACAGATTGATCGAAACTGTGAATACCAAGAAATCCGGACTCCACCTGCCAAAGGCTATTGGGGAATACAAACCTGGTTATGTATATGGGAATGTCACGACACACAAGCCTGGAAGCCCACTTCGGTCAATCATCAGCCAGATACCCACACCCACATACAGACTGGCTAAGCGACTCAACTGCTTGCTGACTCCTTATGTACCTTGTGCTTTCAGCCTGAAGTCTTCAAAGGAGTTCATTGACTTAATGCAGGGAGCACGGGTCATGGGAATAAGAGCGTTGTTGAATGTAAAGTCGCTGTTTATCAACGTACCTGTGGATGAGACATTCGGAATGATAGTGTACAGAGTGTATCGCGATTCGTCTTGTACTACTCTTGACATACCAGAAAACATACTAAGGAAGCTACTCCAAGCCTGCACTAAAGAGTCACCCTTCTTGAGTCCAGATGGGCACATGTATAAGCAAGTAGATGGGGTCGCAATGGGTTCTCCCCTAGGTGTCCTGTTTGCGAACTTCTACATTGGTACCATCGAGCAGAGGGTCTTAGTTGACATGGACTTGAAACCCGCCATATACTGCAGGTATGTTAACGATATTTTTATGCAGGTACCTAATGTCAGACTTCTGCAGTAGCTGAAGGACGCATTAGAGCGAAATTATGTGTTAAGTTTCACTTTCGAGATGGAGAATGATGGGATGCTGCCCTTTCTAGATGTAACAGGCACGGAAAGGAATGGAGTATTCCACACTGCAGTCTACACTAAGGAAACAAACATAGGAATGTGCCTCAATGCCAATAGTGACTGCCCAGACAGGTACAAGAGGAATGTTGTCAACGCTTACGTCGACTGGGATCTCAGTCACAGCTCAGGATGGAAGCAAGTCGATGAAGAACTCTGTAGGATAAGCAAGGTCCTAGTCAACAATGGCTTCTCTAAACAGTTATGTTGAAGATGTCATAAAAAGAAAGGTGAAACGCCATGCAATTTCTGAAGAGTCAACTAGCACAACACTTGTATCCCCTATTAAACTGTTTTACAGGAACTTCTTTTTGACGGCTCATTAAACGAAAGAAAGGGTCCTGAAAGATATTACAGTATTAATAGGAACGTTATCCCTGTAGACAAAAATCAGAAAATACAATTAACAATTTACTATGAAAACAAAAAAATGGCCAACCTACTCATGAAAAACTCCCCAGACACCAAATTGAACGCCTTGAAGGAAATCTTCCTTCAAGGAAACATCGTCTATGCCCACTTGGGGTATGTAAGCCCCAAAGAACTCAGTATATAGGCAAGACAACAATGTCTCTTTCTAGGCGATTAACAATGCACAAACAACAGGGCTCCATCAAGGAACATATAATCTCTTCTCACAACCAGACCATCAGCAGAGAAATCTTAACAAACTACACAGAAATCATTGATAGATAACTCAACATCAGCGAGGCACTACACATCAAGAAGTCAACACCAGCAATCAACAGCCAATTAACGCATAACTATAGTCTACCCACTTCAAGACCCCGAACCAACATAGGAGCAGCAAGAGAAAGTATGGGCCAATAGGCCTTCTGCAGTTACAGTACTTTCATTCTTATGCCTTTCATACCCAATTAATATCAACCTCATCCAAAACATTTTTGTCATATCACCTCACCCAAAACAAATAAAAAGCATGATGTATGGTAAGTGTAAACCAACCCTTTGAAAATGTAAGAAGTCTTAAGAAACGCTTCTAGGCATCAGACCAAAAATAAAAATGTAAAAGAATGATTCTTGGAGAGTTAATATTTGAATTATCCTTGAAAGTGAAGAAAAATGTAAGAAATATTGAGAAGATTCGTGTTAGAATTATTAATCTTACCCTTTTGGTCATATTCAACAATATATATATATATATATATAATATATAATATATAATACACACACACATACACACAGTGTAACCTCGAGTGACGAGCGGCTCTATCTACTACGAGCATTTCGAGTAACGAGCGAGCCACTCGCAGAAAATTTGTCTCTATTGACGAGCTTCTGCTCTATTAACAAGCGAAACCACATGGTGCTTCCTAATGTTCTCACTGGTTCTTGCAAATTCTCGGACGCCTCCGATGCCAGTGTTGTTGTTGTATTGCGCACGACAAGCATCCCCCTGCATTTATTTGTGCTCTTTGTTTTTTTTTGGTTTTGTGACTACAATTTGTAACCCACGATGTCACCAAAGCTGCGGCTTTCTAAAAATAGTGTTGTCAAGAAGAAGAAAGACACAATTACTGTGGATTTGAAGAAGGTAATTATAGCAAAGCAGGAGGGTGGTGTCCGTGTGACTGATCTTGCCAGGAAGTATGGCAGGTCCTCCTCAACAATTTTCACCATTTTGAAGAGGATATTGTTGCTCTGGGGCAAACCTTAGGTCTGGAGTTGGATGCTGCTGATGTGCAGGAGTTAGTGGAGGAAGACAGTGATGAACTGACCACTGAGGAACTCATGGAACCTCAGATGGAGCCGATTCAAGAGGAGGTACAAGAGCTCTCATCAGGGGAGGAGGTGATAAGGGAAGATGCTGCTGCCTCTTCCAGTGAGATCAGGGAAGTGTTGTGAATGTTTGATAGATGCCTTCTTTGTAAAAGTAGAGAAAGAACGAACAAGTGATAGTGAACCACAATCAGGTCCCAGTGGGGAGAAATTCCCAAGAAGAGAGAGCCCGCCTGACTCAAGAGGTGGATTCTCCTTCCACGCCATAACCCCTCTCCTCCTTTCCACCTCATCGTCTCCCTCATGCCAGCAACAACTCTTCATAAGGTAAATTACAATTTAAAAAAGTAAAACAAAACATTTATAATTACCTGTGCAGTATTATATTTACATTATAAAATGCCATACAAGTATTGATGTTTTTGGGGTGGAACTGAATAATTTTATTTTCATTATTTTAAATGGGGAAATTCGTTTCTAAAGACAAGTTTTCCACATAACGAGCTCGGTGCCAGAACGGATTAAACTCGTTAATCGAGGCTCCTAATTAATCGTTAATCTAATATGGAAAAACCACACGTGAAAAATAGAAAATGCTAAATGCGCTCACATATTTTTCATATGTGGTTTTGTTTTTCCGCATACTTGGATCAGTGTTTTTGTGATCATTGTTGCATACACACACACACACACACACACACACACACACACACACACACACACACACACACATACATATATATATATGTAATTATCTATTTATTTATTTATGATTGCAGAATTTGTTTTAATTAGTATTTAATTCATGGTGGGTAGTCTTGGGTAGGCCTAGTTGGTTTTCATCATTTAAGCATTTATTTAGTATGGTGTTTACCTAAATGATTTTAATTGGAATGTATAGTTATTAGTTTAAATGTTTTGATTACTTTGTAGTCCAGTGCTTAATATGATATAGGCCTATTTGTTGCCAGATATAGAACTTGCCACTTTTTATTATATTTAATAGCTTAATTTTTGCTATTTTGATGGATAGTAATTATGTGGAGTTATTGTTTAACAGCGTTCAGTTGTATTATTTTGTTACAAAATAAGGTGTAATATTTGGACCCTACCTATAACCAATTGTTTGACAGTTTTGTCCACATACAAGATCACTGCGCACTCATTGTAACTAAGAGTATTATAGAACGTACCTGACAGCTTTCACTACATTGTTAAATCCTGCATGATGTTTATTTCCATGGTTATCCACCTCTTCTCTTTCCCTTCAACACACTCTTGCTTCACCATCCAGGTGTTGAATCATTTGGTTGGTTTGTATCATTTAAAAGTATGATTTTATTTGTTTAATTGGAGTATGTTTTGTTCTATGTTAACTTGGATCTGCACTCATTGATGTTAGAAAGTGAAAATAGGGGGCATAAGGAATTAGTGTACTTTAGTGTGTAAAAGTACACTAATTGTAGTCTGTAAACATGTATGATAACCAGCATGAATGACAGTTCCCGATCCGTTATTCCTGTGTGAGCACTCTGACCCTCTAAAGTATTTTAAACAACAGTGCATGATGCCTGTGGACATTTTGGCTCAACTTAGGCTAGTTTTGGTAGCTCCAGACCATGAGGTCTAAGTGTCTTAAGGTAGAAAGAAAGATGAATGATTTAAGTTAGCTAGGAGCAAGATAGGGTAAGATGCTTATAAGGGGTTAGGGAATATGGTGGTAATAATTAGGAAACTTATATGTGTGCCTAAAATGTGTTTCCTTTTAGATTGTTGCTATAGAGAGTATCCCATGAATATGTTGATTGTCACTGATGTTCTGGAACAGTGTATGTATGGCAAATTTTGTTAACTCTTGGGTTGCAACCCATATTTATAGTAGCCCTTGTGCACAAGAAAAATGCTCATGTGCACAAGAAAAAAAAAGTTTATTGTAATATTGTTAAAATGTATTCCTTGATCACAGGAAAAAATGTTGTGTCTTTGGCCATGGTAAAGCAATTCCTGCATGTCTATGGAACATTTACCGTTTGGTGCTTGCACCAGGTCACAGGTGTGGTGCGGGAATCGCTGCAAAGATATTTTTGCTTATTTATTTAAATGTCTCTGATTTGTTTCTTCTCTGTTTATTTACAAATTATTATTATTATTCAATAGTGTATCATTTGATAATTTTAGGTAATAAAATGCATACAACATCAGAATGCTCAAATATATTTGTCACTATATACACACACCGTAATATATTTGAATAATAAAACATTCTGTTTATGTTGTTATTACACCGTATACACACTATATATATAACTATCTACATTTTCATGCACCATTACAAACCACTAAACAGTTCTGGTGGGTGTAATAATTTCATAACCAGTTATCAGGGTTCAGCCTAACTCTGAATGTTTGCACGAAGTTGTACCTGCATGCATTGAATATTTTATATTTACTTGTATGTAACTTGGTAACATAGGTCGCACATATATACATGTATCACTAATATGTGCACAACATTATTTTCTATGAGCAATAAAACACCGTTTTTATTGCTTTAAATGCTTTAAACAGTTTTTTCAAATTTAATGATACATTGGGCTGTCAATGTTATTTGTATCAAAGAACGTGTAGAGCATAGGTTCGCACATATTTACTTGTATCACTAATATGTGCACAACATTATATTCTATGAGCAATAAAACACTGTTTTTATTGTTATTATACTGTATACACACACACACATGTAATTATCAACATTTTTATGTATGGTAACAAACCACTAAGCAAGTTCTGGTGGGTGTAATTTTGCACTCCAAACTCAGTATAGTGTCACACTAGTCAGTTGCTGAGGGCACCTGACACATAAAAATGCCTACCAATATACCATGCACGTCGCAAACACTAGCCACAAGACTGATATCATTAAGGCTATTTGTATGTAGCTAAGAATTAAGGTACTTGAAGATTATTGATGTTCTTTGAAGTTACAGTATGTTCAGAGAATTGGTTAATATTACAGAGGCTAATTCAGCTAATAGGCCAAGAAGAAATGTGAACCTTATGAGCGTTGGTAATTTAAATGCATGTTCTGCAGCAGTGTTAAGCAGGTTTACTAAGCATAGAAGATCCACGCATCTGTTTAGTTGGCAAGTAACCTGAATGGGAACGTAGAAAAAGTGTATAATAGAAAGCAAGAGATCCTAAGGTTACAAGCGGAAACCGATAATTGTAAATACTGTACTCTGATCTTGGGGCTTGGAAACTCTGCCTTGTGTCAGACTCTTCTCAGTGGAGAGACTATGCTGTTGTAAAGACTGAGAGGCTATGCTATGTTACAGTATGAAAGCCTTAGATCAGTTATTCAAAACCTTTGTTAAATGTTGTCCTACTTTAGTTAAAGATTTGACACTCATGTTGAAGATTACAGCTTTCGTCTTATATTATTAGTAATACTTATAATTCTTATGTTAATTGTTTTGCTTAGCTCTTTAACTTGTAAACACCTGTTTAATCTGTGTACTGTATATATTTTTGTTTACAATATTTTTCTGGGGGGAGCCCCGTCGGCTCCCCGGAGCTATCCCAGGCTGATATGCTAATGTCAGACTTTGGCATCAGTCATGTGTATGGAGTTCTTAGGCCTACCGGGGACCACGGCCAGAACCGGGCCCCCTCAGAGAGGCAAGGGGAGCAATGGCCTATAGAAGCCCCCGTGTAGTTGGAAGCATTCTATGTCTGCCATCGACCGGAACAGGCACCCAGAAAGGTAAGCGCCCCAAAACAAACCCCTATTCTGGTTAAAATTGCTACCTAATACCGAACTAGTGGATAGAACTCCCCAACCGAAAACAAGCAAATTAGTGTGACGTCACACACTGCCGCGCCGCTGTCTGCGCAGCTCCCCCCTCCCCGGGAGGGGGAAGGGGGAGCCCCAGACCCCCCGCGCCGGCTACCCACACCTCAGTTCTTGAGGCTGGTGCTGCTCAGCTTGTAATTCCCGACATCGCGGCCGGCTCTGTTCCTTGGGGTTCGCTGTCCTCTTGCGGGGTTTTGTTTTTCTTTTTGTTTTTTGCCTGGTGGGGGGTTCTGTCATTTTATTCAGTTTGTTTTTGCCCTTCCACTGTTCTCCTCGGTGGCGCCCCCTGCTAGGTCCCCGTGAGTGTACACGTCCCTGGGGTTCAGCTTTAGAAGTTTGCTTGGCTTCGACGGCTGTTCTGGTTCCTTCGGGGTTCCCCCTTCCGCCTCTCTCGCGATCGCAGAGTTCGACCCCCGGGGGACTTGCGTCGGTTGCTGCGTCACCGGCTTCCTCTTCGGGTTTTTCGGGGTTCAGTGCCTTGGCGCCTACCCGAGCCCTCGCTCGATGTGTACACGGATGCGTCGTCTCTCGGCTGGGGTTTTGTGACCAGTGCTCACCAGGCCGGCCAGGGGCGTTGGGATCCGTCCTTCCGTTGAGCTCACAGCACGGTGCGGGAGTTCGCGGCAGTGTGGTTTGCTCTGGGGAGGATTCGGGTGGCCCGCGGATCGACGATTCGGCTCCATTCGGACTGCTCTCCGGTGGTTCATTGCCTGAACCGCGGGGGTTCGATGCGGTCCTTGTCTCTTTGGGGTTGGTCGCTTCGGGTGACTCGTCTGCTGAGTTCTCGGGGTTTGGCTCTCCTGGCGGTTCACGTACGGGGCGTGTCCAACGTCTTGGCCGACGCCCTGTCTCGCTTCGTTCCCCTCTCCACGGAGTGGACGGTCGACGACGAGTCCTTCCGTTGGCTTTGCCAGACGTTCGGGCGCCCCGAGGTGGACCTCTTCGCGTCGGCGTGGTCGCGGCGTCTTCCCGTTTATGCGGCGCCCTTCCCCGATTGCGAGGCCGTCGGGGTCGATGCCTTTCGGCTCGACTGGTCGAGGTGGGGGTTCCTGTACCTCTTTCCCCCAGTTCGGCTGTTGCTCCAGGTCCTGACTCGCTTAGAGACTTACCAGGGGAGAGTTGTCCTTCTGGCCCCTTGGTGGCCGGCCCAGCCTTGGTTTCAGGCGCTGGTTGCTCGGTGTCCGAACCCGAGGGTTTTCCCGCGGCTCCGTCTCTTTCAGCAGATCGGGCCGGTACGTCACGTAGCTGGT